AAATCGATGGCGCTCTGTGCCGGCACAAACTTTTCTCTATATCGACTTGTTTAAATATAAATGCACAAATGAAACGCTGGACGGGGGGTCAACAAATTTAATTCTTTTCCCGACAGTTACTTCTGCTATATGACCCAGATTTCGGCTACGTTCGCGTGTTACCCACAGGCGGTCGCAGTTTCATAACGTATATTGGCTATTGTGAAAAGTGCACAAAGTGCGGGTGTATAGGTTTGCACGGATAAAACCCTAAATTCCGACCAAGCCGTCGAATCGATTTCGATGGAATTTCAATGGAATCCTGCGGGAAGTAGTTTTCGCTTTAATTACTTAGTACAAAAAAATAGTACTGCGCGGAGATCACAGGATGATTATTAAGTTAACTCAAAAATTTCGTAAACGACACTAAAAAAAAAAGAGAACATCAACTCGAAACGATTTCATACTTTGTGAAACTCCGCGCACGTATTGCATATAAATATTGCTGTTATTTTTAAAGTTAGCTGTTTCAAAAGTGCCACTATTTAACACTATGCACGAAATAATACTCGTTTCACAACTAAAACATTTATCTACCCAGTTACGTGAAATTTTCTCTTTCTCTAGCTAATGTCAGCTTGAAAATTAACAATTGCGCTAAGCAAAAAGAAGGCAAACACTTTTGGAGCGGCAGTGTGTTAGGATGGCGTCGCGACAAAATAAGGCCAGGCGAGACGCGGGAGTTCGAAATTGTCTCCCCTAAAATACAAGTATAAGAAACAACAAAGTATTTCCCAGTTCCAGTTACAAAGGTGTTAGCAGTTCGAACTTTAGGCGAACGGAGCCGGGCTAGTCGTAATGCTTGCACGTATGCCTCCCTCCTCTTCGCCCTTCTACTATTGCAAAACTCCTTTCCAATCACCCGGACAGCACCACGTACGATCCTTACGTGCAGCGATCTGCCGACCGCCCTGCGCACGTGCGAGCCAACCCCGAATACGGTGTGTCCCGGTTCATCGAACGTGGAAAGGATACGAGATGGTAAAATCACGAGACTATGTGCGCCCAATAACGAGCATTTTTCGCGGCAAAACCGCCGTGTGATCTGAACGCGTCGGACAAAGTTACGTAAAACTACAATTGCGGAACAGTTAATCCGCGTCGCAGAAAAATGTGTACTTCGCGAGGAAGAGACAGAGGGAGTGAGAGAAGGAGAGAGCGAGACGGCCAGTTTTTGCCGTCCGGCGGTAAATGCCGCGCGCGAGAGAAAAACCGAAATTAAATTTGAACGCGAGATTAATAATCTGGAACGCGCGGCATTACTTCGAGTTATCAACTGTCTTGCCCGAGCGAGAAAATTACTCCGAATGGCAAAAAGCGCAATTTAACGACGTAACCTCTCGCGCGAGAAACGCGCCGCGTGTTCACCCCGCGCGGCGTTTAAAATAGTTCCACCAAGTTCCACAAGATATTTCGAGCGCACACGGCGCTTGGCACATCGTAAATTAGATTCCGCTCGTTCACGCACGCGAGTATTGATTATAGAGGTGAGTCCCGGCACACTCAAGCCCGCACTTCGGTTTGCCCAAACACACCCTTCGCGTTACTACGTTCCGGCCACTCCCGCGACCACAAGAACATTACGTCTTTCATCCCCACAAAGCGTCGTGATTGCTCTATGCATCGTGTTTACCGCGTGTCGTGGATCGCGAGATTAACTTACGAGGTGCGACCGAGGTGCGTTACTTCCAGACTGCAAATAATCACCGCGCGTTCTTGTTGCGGAACACGTTCGTCCCACCCACGTTCAGCGTTTCGTTCGCAGTCGTGTTTCACTTCTTTGTCGTGTCGCGAAAGGTGAAAGAAAAAAAAAAAAAGAGAGAAAAGAAAAATTAAATGCGAAACCCTGCAAAATCGTAGATACGTGAGTCGTGTAGAAAAAATATCTAAGAAACAAAAAATATTTATTCGATAACTATTTTACACACTAATAACATATTTACTTATACTAATATAAAATACTAATATAAAATATCTTTTACGTAAGAAAATATATATTCGCTGAAAACTTTGGCTTCCCTCACGAAACCAGTTGAATTCCATTTAAATGAAAAAAGAAAAATTTGATTTGAATAAATACGTTATTAGTACCTATCAAATGAGTATTTTTTCTTTTGTTTCTTAGATATCTTGTCTCTCTCACAGTGACAATGATAAACGCCGTGATTCGATTCGACATGTTTGCGAGCTCACGACGTATTCCATTGTGCGCTGCCTCTCCTCGAGGGATTACGGGATATCGATGTCATCTCTTATCGTGGGTCTTGGGGTTCCTTTGGAAATCTAACGGAAATAGTTAATAGAGACGAGTACTCTTGTGCGTATTCCCACTGTCTTTTCCGCGCTACGTTTGACAGTTAAAAATATCGCTCACACGATACTTTTTAGAACTTTGGCGCGATAAGCGCGTCGCGCCTATAAAGCGGATCTGCCTTAAAACTTCGCTTAAACGCCGTTGAATGCAAAAGCACGCCGGCATTTCGCGCGATACACGCAACCGGGTTTATGCACTTTCGCCGATGGTATTATCCGACGGGCAGCGCGAGCTCTGCCCACACACACACATACACACACACACACAGCGTAGCCAGCCGGGAAACGCTGAAGCGCGATTGCGCGAAATTGGTGCGACAAATTAAATTTTTTTCATCCTTACTACGATGTCCGCGTCCGTTCACGAGAAAGAAAGAGAAGCTGGATCCAGAGGGGGAGAGGGCGAGCGAGTCGCGCGGGAGAATGCATGCGCGTGATTGGCGAGAAAGTGAATTACGGTCGCGGGGAGAGTCCGGCGTGTTTTATCGCTTGTTGGACCGAAATTGGGAAGGGTGCCCCGTATAAATTCACCTTCGATGGCGGCATTATTTGACATCGGCGTAATATGTGGGAATATGGCGGCGAGCCGCAGGTACGGAATGACGTCGCCCCGGCGGAAAAAGTTAGGAACGAGCGCGAGGGCGGCTTTTTATCCGTTCGTATTACGACGCTTGGGCCACGGAGGAAACGGTGGGTAAATCGAATCTCAGCTTTCGCGGACCCTCTTCTCTCCCGTCCGCCGCCGTTCCTCTGGTCTCCCGTAGCCGCGGCAACGAGGAGCGAAACGGCAAAGCCGGCTTTAATTACTTTTCGCAAAACAAAAAAAAAGAAATAGAAAAAAAAGAAGGTAAAAAAGGTGGAGGATACGCTTTAGGTCACGAAGATTGAATTTTAACGCGCCACGCCGACAAGAGGATCCGCAAACCCCCGGACTTGAATTCCAAACCACGGCGGGGCACTTTGCTGCCCGCGATTAGACGCAAGCCGCAAACCGCTTTAATATAAAAGCATAGCGAAAATGGGAGGATGGGGGAAGATCCTGCGGTGATGTACGAGTCGCAATTATATCTCGTGCGTCTCAGAAATTTCTGAAATTATTGAAATTCGCGTCTCAGGAATTACTGAAATTATCGAAATTTCTGAAATTATTGAAATTCGCTCGTTACATATAACGAATCGATTTGGACGTGATTTGCTCGAAATATCGACGGGCGATTTCACGCGGAGCGTATGCAACGGAGCATTTCAAACGCTAACCGTTAAAAATATAATCTGAGCGCAGAGCAGAGCGAAACGTCACGTCGATGTGTGTCTAAGGGAATTAAAATTTTAAATCTCCGCGCGTGCGTGGACGAAGGAGGGAAGAGGAGGACGGAGCGGCGACACTGTTCCCCTTTTCTCTTGTCTTTTTTTCCGCTTCCGGTTTTTTACTCTCAACACACGACCGACAGTTTAGACCACCGAGCTCACGTGATCCACTGAAATTATTTCCTATGATGCAACGTCATCCGAGAGATAAAAACAAATTGCATGAGCGGCGCGCGAGGGCGCTTTTGATATATTCCCATCCGCGCCTTGCACGGTTCATCGATGCGAGTGCAACGAAAGGTTCCATCCCGCGCCCATCCCTAGCAGACAAATGTAACGCATGAATGACACCGCTGAGAACTAGTGGCTCGTAAAGTATCTACGTCACACGACGTATACGTGACGTGCGAGGTAAACGTTTCCAGGTCTCTAGAGGTCCGCCCAGATCGAAACTCGGGAGTGGCGCAGCCACTCCGCCATCGGGGGACTGTTTATCAATCAAGTTAAGCAAATACCGTACACGTAACGTAGCGTATTGCGGCACCGTTACGTCTGAAGCACGTCCGTATGTGCTTGGCCGGGCTACATCGCGGTCCATTCAGTGCAAAATTCAGCGCGTGGCACAATGCGGAAATCTTGAGCGTTATTTCCGCGCTGACGCCGAGCTTCGCGCGAGTGAATTTTTTATGAAGCGCAATTCGCAACGTGTCTGACAAAAATCACAGGAGACTGCGCAAGTTTGCTCTGCAGAAAATTAACAGCACGCGCGATTTCTCGTCTTCTCGGCGTGTGCATAATTTATAAGTAAGCGCCAAGTCGTTTTCTATTTTCGTCGATTTCCATTACTCCTCGCGAGTCGAAATTTTAGCCCTATAACTGGAATCTGAACTTTCCGCCGTTTATATATTCTGAAGGATCTGAAGGAATGTATGTGTGATATACACATGGAAACTGAAATCCTAGTTAGAATCTCTAAATGGCACAGAAAATGCGTAAAATGCCACTTATAGGTTTTAAAAAGAGAATACAGAATACTATTAATAATAGTAGGTTAAATAGAATGAATGAATGAATAGAATGACAATTTGAGATAGACTGTAATATCGAGTTCGAAAGTAAAATTAAAATCTCGACTCAGATCGAATCGATAAATTTATGCGTGCAGTATGCATAAATTTATGCTCAGCACGCCGGATTAATCTTTTTAATAATATTATTAACCGAAATTTTAATTTCGGTTTAATTTTACTTTCGACCTCGATAATCCATTTAACTTCTATTGTGTCAAACCTATCACGTTTATCGATGTAACTAACCAGTGTACTTGCTTTTTGTTTCAGATCTGACGGAGCTTGTGGCCACACAGTGGGCGCGGTTCCCCGAGAGGTGGTGCAGTTCCGGTGGATGCGGATGCTGACCCAGAGGATCCGGTTCGAGCCGAAGTAGATTCGGGCAGGATCGCCACGAAGGTAGGTTTGTTCTAACTTTTACCGTACACTCGCATTGAAACGATCGAAAATTAGTGCACAGCTCTACCAGCAAAATTTCTTGGATTACCATGATCGCAAAAGGTTATCACACGCTATTGTTCACGCGTATTTTTCCCGTTGATTTATTGACTCACATATCATCATATCTAATCGACGGGGTGATGATTTTTCCAGATCTGTAGCGAAATGCGGCCGATCCTGAGTTCCCGGTATATCGGTGAGTCAGAAGAATGATCACGAAAAGTGATTTGAAGGGTGATGAAGTTTTCAGGTGATGGGTATTTTTATATAATATTTTTAAGAACAATGCGATTTACTTAGCTGTAGTTCTTTGCATGTACACTAAGAGAAAGAAATGACGAATCTCACCACAAATTATAATCATCTTCAGCACCAGTCATATTTTCTTTTATTGTTCTAGCAAAACGAAACAACAGTAGCGATATGCACATAAAATTAAAATCGATAAAGTTATAGTAGCATTCTCTTCCTACAGAAATGATTTTCTCGATTATAATTATTTCACTATAAAATTACACACAATATCAATCATTTTTCTCTTAGTGTAGGGTTTTGCATGTATATATATTTGTATATTGCTATTAAAAATACACTGTTCGATACAATCGGAGGCTCGCTTTAAATAATCGCTTTAAACACCATATTATTCGACAGAAAGAGACACAAAGGCAGACATCGATTTTTAGTCTTTTTTTTTTATTTATTTATTATAATTTATTATAATTGTTTTGAATGGTTCAAAAATAGCGTTTCAATATAGCGCTTCAGAATTGCGCCACGACTCGCGATTAGCCACTTTGCTTGCGATTTAAGTTTCTTAAATGCTTCTCACGTGGCGAGTAATAATAAAAAACTAATATTTTCGCGAAATAGGAACGTCGCTTTTTTATTAAGTATAAACGTCCACGAAACGGAATGTCTTCTCTTTTTCAGTCGAAATTTGTCCAAAGAACCGTGATTTTCTATTCGTAATTTTTTTGCACGCGATTTGCAGATATATTCTCGAAACACACTGTTCTTTGTCGCGTACTTTTCGTTTAATCATCAGATCGTTCTTTAAATCGTTAAATGCGTAAATTGTCAATTTGTTGGACGTTTCCATTAAATGGTGAATCCACGAAAATTATCATGATCGCGAGAGTAGTGTAGCGAGGTGGATCGGACATTGCGACATGGATCAAAGACTGGACATTGTGAAGGCTGGATGCTGAGCACCTGAACATGGCCGGTTAGACCGAGGGATTTCAACGTACATTGGTGAGCGTGCCATTCAAACGCTCACAAAGAGATATTACGTAGTGCATGCAGTGTTTACATGTAAATCGCATTGTTTGTCAATAAGATACTTTCAACGCGCGAAGGTTGTATATTTCGAGAGCGCCGCATAATTTAAGAGGCTTAGAGACCGCGCATTTGCATAGCGTGTCTACATTGAGAAAAGAAAGTGGTTGAGCTAGCTTGCTTGAACGAACAAAATTTGTTCAAGCGAACGTTTGGTCGATTCAACGAATTATATGTTGCTGTGACAAGTTGTCAATTGATTCAATGATTCAATTTATTGTTGCACACGAATGCATAAATTTGTTCAATATTTAGAGTATTTCTTCGAGGACGGGGGTAACCGTCGATCTAGTCGATTCAACCACTTCTTTTTCTCGGTGTAGCCGAGATAAAGAATAAAACATAGACTACTTTGCTGCACCTGCATAACCCGAGTTTAGTATTCGATCGATATTGTTGCGTTCCTTCGCAACGGAATACTTGATCGAAATTCATCGAACAGATGTGCGCGATAAATCAAGCCCACCTCCTGCTTCTCCCTTAAGATCTCCACATCATGCAAGCCGTACGTGATATACATCGCAATTATTATACATTTATCACCGATATGTACGTGGCGACAACACAGTAGCGAATTTTGTTTAATTCACTTCCGCTGAATTTCACCCCAGAAATTACATCGGTAATACACAAACGCCCATCATGCGAGCGTGAAATTATAACAACTGTAATCCGTTACGGCCGACGAGTTACGCAAAGGGATTTAATTGCAGTCCCCCTATCGATATTCCCGTCCTCCGACTAATATTTACGGTAATTTGACATGGTTGCGAGCGGTTTTTGGAAATGCGCAAATATTACGTTTCAAAGGAACGGCAGGCCGTCATTTCGCTGAGGCCGGAATGATACAGCCACGTGTTGTCACCTTGTGCCGAGTCACTCGAATCTACATTCCTATTTTCCCTTTTCGCCGTTCTTTCTACATCGGGTCTCCGTCTCCTTTCGACCCGCTCCTTCCGATCCCGCAATATTCATGATAAATGAGCACGCGCAGGCGGCGCATTTGTATGAAACGCGCCCAAATCGCATTTGGTCGCGGCAGCACTCGGGGCTTTACCAAGGCGCATAAATGTGTATGAAGCTTTACAGGCACAAACGGAGGCGCGTAATCGCCAGCCGTGGTACGGTAGGTTCGAGGTAACCAAAAGGGAAAACCATTCCGATGGAAATAAAGTCTAGATCGACCGCGGGACAGGGCGGGAAAAGGTGGACGAACTCAAAACGCGTTCTCGCCGTAGTAAATCTTTCCGCGAGTGGGCCATTGTGTCTTTAATTATCGTGTCTCGTCTCGCAGCTCCCCGCCAAGGTGGTCCTCTCTCTCTCTTTTTCTCTCTCTCTCTCTCTCTCTCTCTCTCTCTCTCTCTCTCTCTCTCGCGGCAACATTGTTAATAAAAGCTTTCTTTAACAGCGGGCGCGCGCGCGTACATAAGTCGCTATCGAGGATGCAAATAAGTTTAGGTAAATATGTAAATATATTCCGACCCGTGAGACGTACTTGCGACACGGTGGGGAGTTTTGACCGCGGTATATACGTATATACACACGCCGCATACCCGGCCAAACCGCCGAGAACTTTGCCGACACACAAAAGCGTGAAAATTATTCGTCTTCGAGACGATAAAATTACGGCGTGTCAACGAACGCGCGGAGAGAGAAACTCCGGACTCGACAAACGCGGAGCTTAATGCGCGGCCGCCGCCGGTGATGTACGGTTTTCGCAATGCTATCGTGAAGGATGCCGAGTTAAAGGTTCCTCGTGGCGGGACGAGCTTTACGACTTTCTCAAACGTTTCTCACCGTTTCCTCCTAAGGGATTTCAGCTCGCTCTCTCCCCGCCCATCTTGCATTCGCCGAATAAATTCGCCCGGACTCGCACGCGGACTCAAACGGACTTCTCTCTCCGCCCTCCTCACGTTCCCGTTAATTAGTTTGACATTCGCGTCACGCGATGCCGCCCGTTAACCTCTCGTAACAATGGACACGTGCTCGAGACTCGGTCACGCGGTTGCGCTGGGCAGGTTACGAAACTCGAGGAAAATCGAAAAGTCGAGAGCCGCGAGCCTTAGCCGAAAGTTTTCGAGGGAAAGAGAAATTCCAAGCGCAGGAGGGAGGTTATAGGAGGTAGTAGCCGATGCTTGCGAATCTTCCGCGAGGCTTATCGGTTTCAGACGCTTTCGTGGGGAGACTCGTTCGCCGATACAGGATCAAGAACGCCTTAAACTTCGAAACCGCGAATCCTTCTCACTTCCCCGAGAAGTAACTCCGCCTCGTCGGAATCAGCAATAGGGTTTTTAATCGCGGAATTCGATTTACTCCACTTCACACTCTTTCCCCTTCCTTCCTTAAACTTGATACTTTTGCAGCAAGGAGCGAAGTTTAATTGAGGAATTCGGTTACATTAGAAACGCTCATTTTGTATCGCTGTCTATAATCTTTCACGTATCCTTTGCGGTCAACACAAATTGCTCACGTAAGCTCGCGTAAGATAGAATGATTGTTGAGTGAATGATAACTTCGCGGAAAAGAAGATTTGATTGGATTGACCAAATTTCGGGTGAAATATGAACAAAGCAGGAATTCCGGTTGAAATTATGAGGGACTCTGGAAATTTCAACCGGGATTTTCTGACAAAGAAATGTTTGGTATTTCTAACTATAATGTGGTCTACAATCATATAGAGAAAGAAAATACTTTAATAAAGAAATGCTTTAAATTATAGTCAAGAAAAAATAATTTTTTAAATTAAATTCTGCTATAATGTTAGATAATCTTATATGCATGTTACTATTATCATTATTTTCTTATTAGAACAAACAGGAAATATAGTCGGGGCCAAAAATAATTTCGGTTGGCTCAGCCATTTTTTCTTCGTTTTTTGTACGTGAGAGATAAATAACTGAATATCGCAAAGTATATATGTCGTTTATATGAGTTCTTTATCATCCACAATTTCTTTGTTGATTCCGGCCAGTCACGTGTATAATGATCGAATTCATCTTTATGCTTTGTAGAAGCACGCGTTAAATTGCACACATCTACGTGACTCGTGTCCACGCGGATGTTCTGCTCCACATACTTCAATCGCTAAAAACACTAAGAAATTTGCAAGTCAAATACGCACGGTTTTACGATCGCTCCTGTACGTTGGCCGACGTAGGACACAGATAGCCATCCAAATTCCGTCTATGAAATTGCACGGGAGGCTAATTCGGCACGCTATGCGCGCACACGCCCCTGCGCTACTTCGCCGTAAAAGTCTCACTCGTGCGCGCGCGTAAACAGACGAATGCTTTTCGTTGTATGTTAACGTTCCGGCCGGTGCTATCTGCAGACGAGCGCGGCAAAGTGCCGGCTTTGCACATCAGTAATTTTCGCGCGAACGAAGAACTTCGGGCGCTTTCCGCAACGCGACGATACGTGACTAGACACGGTCTTCTTCGTCGTCTCGGTTTGGTCACTTCGCACCCGCCGTGGAAGAATAGAAGCAAGCGAATAGAACGAGCGTTGTGCCGGACGGCGAAATAAAATTCCGCTGAATTTAAGGAAACGTAAAGCCGGACGAGTGTAAACCCCCGTGTGTAAACAGATTCGTGTTGCCGGACGGAAATACAGAGAAT